AACCAGAGAAAGTCTAAGAAAAAAACATTCTACTATTATCACTAGTTCTCCAATGAAAGATTTTTTAGAGGACAAGCAGCAAAAGAAAAGTATGAAGGAACAAGAAGTAAAACAGACTGCTGGTAAAAAAAAGAAGGGAGGGAGCAACTTTAATAACTTTGAGGCTAATGATGTACCAAAGAAGAAAAAAATAACGAGAGATGATAAAAAAAATGATTGTTATTGTTTAATTTGTGAAGAAAAGTATCATGATCCACCCACGGAAGACTGGGTAAAATGTTATAAATGTAAGTCTTGGTACCACGAGAAGTGCACAAGTTGTGCAAGTACATCAAGAGGTTTTCTCTGTGATTTTTGCTATGAATAACATTTATTGATTTTTTAAATTTTGTTAATGTAACATTTTATTTACATTGAATAACGTTTATTGATACTTGATTCTTTAACGTTTGATTTGTTTAAAATTTGATTCAATAATATTTCAACCCTTCAATTAAGTTTGATTTGCTTTGATCAACATTTTATTCGCTATTACCCAACAGTGTTTTGTGATTACCCCACGGTATGTTCGGAATTACCCCACGTGCGTAGGGTAATTCCGAACACCAAAGGTTTTGTTTTTGACCGAATTTTTTATTTTATAATAAGATATATGAAAATTGCTTTTGAGTGCTTCTAACCGAATGGTTAGACTAACTGATAAGCTATAAATATCATCAATATATAGTAATAGTTGTCTTTAATTCGCTTTCCCGCTTAACTGTTCGCCAATACCCCACTCTCCCCTATGCATATATTTTAACATTTGAAGAAAGGAATTATTTACTTACGTTTAATTTGTCAACTCCACGTGATCAGGTAAATCAAAGTTTTTAAATATATATTTCTGTAAGTTTAAAGGTGTTAAATGGGTGAGGTTTTATCTCATTTAGTGGGTATTTGGCGATTGCATTTCTTTTTTATAGAAATGTTTATGAATTACATTTTAATAATAATAATAATAGTAATAATTTCTTATACATTTTTTTAGTCTTCTTTTATTTGATTATAAACTTCATTTTTAATTTTTTATAATTTTTTTTCTAAGCAAAGATATCTTATTGAATGCAACTGCTCATCATGGCGCTTTACTTAACGTACTAAATGCAGTCAAGGTAAATTCTGTTAGCATTATTTTCTTAAAGCATGAAACAGTAGTTTTCTTAAAACCTGAACTGTTATCCTGACAACATATTTAATTGCTATTTACCTATTTTGTTGCATAAAAATGAAAAAAAGGTATTGTCTCATAAATTGATCTAATTACATAAAACATTTTAAACAGAATCATGCAAGCGCTTGGCCTTTCCTCAAACCTGTTCCTCGAAACGAAGTCCCGGACTACTATGATATTATTAAATATCCAATGGGTGAGAAAGTAATTCAAATATTCTTCAGATGCTTACTTTCTTGTGGTGTAATTTTAAAGTTTTTTATTTAGATTTGCAGACTATGGAAGAAAGATTAGAAAAGAAGTATTACACCCTTAAAAAACTATTTGTTGCAGATATGTCTCGTATATTTTCTAATTGTAGAACATATAACGGTCCTGATACGGAATATTATAAGTGCGCAGGCGTAGTAGAACGATATTTTTTAACAAAGCTAAAAGAGTACTACGACGATTCTACGACAATAGAAATAAAAGGTATGTTAATCGCTTTTAAAGTCTATTGTAGAATACTAAAATAAAAGGTATGTTAATCGCTTTTAAAGTCTATTGTAGAATACGGGTTATAAATTTAAAATTATTCTCTTGGTTTGTTTTAGTAGAAGAAGATGTGTCCTGACATTCTTTTAATGAAGCATCAACGATCTTCTTGTTACTTTTTCCTTTAGTATAGTGTCACTTCTATATTGTCTGATTATCTATTATGGCTATGTATTTGCTATTGTATAAATAATGATTATTTATGCAAATTAATTGTATAAAATTCTGTTACACAAACCTACTGTATAAATAATGTATAAAATTTATTATATAAATTAATGTACACATACGCAACAAAAGCTTGTTATGCTCTAGTTATTTTATTTGGCAAATAATTATCCTTAGCAACAGTAATAGTTATCCCTAGCGACAGTAGTTATTACCTATTTTTCTCATCATTGGAAGTTGTTAACCTGATTAGTATTAAAAATTTATATAAAAAATTTATGACAAATTTGTTTGTCATAAATTTTTGGTATAAAAGCCATATTTTTGATACAGGTCTTGTGATAATGGTCTTTTATACAGGTCTTGTCATAATGATTTGCAAAATATATATTTTTATGAATTCAATAAAAACATTCATAATAGAATCTTATTTTTTTGGTACCAGTATTATCTTAAAAAAATAAGTTCGTATGTGGTGGTAATAATTTTTGTAAAGCATCTAATCTTAATGAATAGAATTTTTACAAAACTAAAAATATTGACGAAAAGTTGACGACAAAACTAAAAAAATTGACGAAAATTGCTTTTTTTCTAGATGTATGGATGCTTGATTTCCTATTAGTCATTTATTATTTTGTCAAGCCGTTGTATTGATAAAGATTTTAAAATTGATGTGTTACTGACATGCTCCTCATTTTTCAGAATGCCATACTGGAACAAAATATCTTGAAAGTTAGTATGTAAGGTATCTGAAGTATCAAATTTGAAAGTAAATATTCGCTGATACGAAAAATGATTAGGAGATTAGTAAGAGTTATCTTCCTTAATCATCCGCATTATTTATTTGCTTCAATTATTTGAGATTTGATTATAACTGAAAAGACTAAAACTGATGTTCTTATAAAATGTTTTTGACTTGTAACTCATTTCAACCATTCATTTCTAGCTTTAGACAACTGCAAAAAATTTAGTTGCCACAAAATCTTGAAATTTTGTTTTGTTCAAGATGTACCAACAAAATAGAACAACATTTATTAGATGCTTAAAAGATTAAACAAAGTTAAAATTCCAGTTCAACTTCACTTTGCTGAGAGATCTGATTTATTATTTCTACTTTTAAATTTTTAAAGTTTCATCATAAATAAGTTTTTGAGTTTCCATTAAAATTAAAAATTATTAAAATACATTTTTTTTCAAAATAACTCTTTGATTCCAAATAATTGAGTTTGATAACAAAACCTTTGCCTTCTTTAAAATCTTGATTAAATTTTTAACACTATCTAACAGCTGTAACTACACAACATCATTTTAGTTAAGCGGCAATAGTTTGCATTGAAGGGGTTTCGTTTTTCTCTTGATTACGTAACGCAGAAAAAGTATAGTGTTTAAATCAGCGTTTTGGCTTACTAACCGTCGTCTGAATTCATATCTTCATATTTAGGAGATGTTAGAAATATCTTGTTTTATCTTCAATTTTTGAAAAAATTGAATTGTTGTGTTAAAATGCCAAAATTTTTATCGTGAGTAGTGCGGAAAAAGGGTATATTATCGTGTGAAGTGCGGTAAGGTTTAATAAAATCTAAATTAGTCAAATTGAAATCTTTCTTGCTGAAACATTTTAAAGTTATGCTATAACACAAAGGGGAAAAAAAAAAAGTAATTGTTTGATTCGTTAAGATATAAACATGGAGCACATTGCAGTATTTCTAAAGGTGAGTTTCCACTCGTCCGTTTTTCTACGGGAACGGGATAGGAAAGGAAAAAATAATCACTTAAGCATGCGCAGTTTTAACTCGGACAAATTAAAACTTATAATACGCATGCCCACGTGATTATTTTTCCCGTTCCCGTGAAAAAACGGATGAGTGGAAACTCACCTTAATATTACGTACATTAATACCTTTGTGCTTTTAGCCTTGTATGTTTTTGATTTTGATTCATTTTTTTTTCTTTTGAAACTGTCCAGTTGTCAGCATTTATTCAAATAATTTGGAAAAGGTGCCCTAAAGATGTATTTGTTTGCAAAGAAGTTTTAGATATTAGTGTAGCTTCAGCTGTTATTCATTTCAGTAATGGAATGTCTGGTTTTTCAAAAGTTTTTGAGAATCTAAATCTCAAATTTGGATATCTTAGTAATTATGGTTCATGTAAAATAGACAGCCACCATCAGGGCTATTTAAAAAGAAAATCTTCTGAAGCTTTAAAAAAAGATAGAAAAATGCTGAGAGATTTCAAAAAGGGATTTATTGATAAAGAAAAGGATTTTGAAGGTGGAAAATCTTACTCTCCAGAAAAATATTAGAAAATATTATATGTTTTTTAAAAATGTTTTTTACAGAATTGTTTTTTTCGATATTGCAAAAAACTTATAATAAGATTTCTTAAAAAGTATAAAAGCAATCAACTTGAAATTTTCAGGGTGTGCTCCATAAAAAATACTTGAGGGATTGTAACAGAATTACACAAAATTAATTATTTTAAGTTTGGAATAATTATCTTAATTAAAACATTGATTTTTATTTTGCTTCCATTGCTTTTATCCGCCATTTTTGATGTACAAATTTTTTAAAAATAATTCTGCTACAGTCCCTTTGTGTTTGGATCATAAAGATATTCTGAAATTTTCAGGCTCATTGGATGTATATATTAGGAGTTATAAAGTTTTAAAAGTGTGTTTATATTTTACTTATTTTTTGTTGACTCAGCAAAACAAAGAATTTTTTATAATTTTTTGAAGTGTATTTGTTGATAAAAATGACTATTCTTTTCATTTAAAGTTATTTGGAAAAATTTATGTTTAAAATGCATTATTTTTTTAACCGTAACCTTAAACAATATTTTTGCTTGAAAATTTGTTTTAATCTTATAACAATTTTTTTATTTTAATAAATTGGCAATATCGGTAGAGATGAGGCTTGAAGTTCCACGTTAAATGCTCTTCCACGATGCTTTGTGACAAGACCGTTTTTTTTTTTTTTTTGATGCACCTTAGTAACCAAATAAATAAATTAAAATTGTATATATATTAGGAATCTGATTAACGGCTTTATTATTTTCTGTAAATAGCAGTATAAATAATAATGAATAATAAATAAACAAAATGAATTGTAAAGCTATATATCAACGTTTTTTTTTTTAAGAATCTAAAAGTAAATTATTCACTCGCCTATTTCTAAAAAAGTACGTTAAAACCTTTTATTTTGACTAATTGAAAGGTTTTGTATAGGAGTTTGCGAACATCTTTGTATAATCCAAAGGGTTTAATTGCAAAGCACATTCACAGTTAACTTGGAAAATATACTTTTTTAATCCTAATTATTCAAGAGATGACTTTTAACCATTATTCTTCTAGCCGAAAATTAATGGTTAGAATCGATCTTTTTTGAAATAAATTTTTTGAAATAAATTTTTTCAACACATTTCGAAAAAAATATAGAAAAATTTTTCGAAATGTGTTGCGTTGATATATCAAAATATTGCGTTGATATATCTAAGTGTTGCGTTGATCAAAATATTTTTTCAAGATACTAGCTCCCAAATTTTAAGCTGGTTCTATGATCACTTATAACCTGGTGGTAGGGATGCGAATAATGATCAAAAAGTTTTGTGAATTTTTTTTAATGGTGGAATTTCACCCTTTGAGATGTCTATTTTCATGTAACTAACAATGGAAACAATAAAAAATATTTCTTGGTCCATATTTCTACTTTAAAACAATCTTAGGTAGCATCAGAGCCCATAGCAACGTCCCTAGTTAACATGAACGGAAGTTTATTCTTTATTTTCCTCTATATATGCCTTATTTTACTCTGAACATTTACTAAGATGTATCTGCTATAATGATATATTATATAAACTAAAAGTCTAACTTTTTATTAGATAAAAAATGAAGCCGCTTTTTTTTGTTTATAACAATAATCTGCCATTTGTAAAAAGGGCTAAAGCTGAATCCGAAGTGTGGAATAAAAGTTAAAAATGCAAGTTAAAAGCCCAATAAATCTCCCAAAAAAGCTCCCAATAAATTGAAGATAATTCAAAAACAACTTTTAATAATTATAAAATACTTATAAAAGTTTTTTTATGAGCCAATGTTTATTAAAAAGTATTTTAATTCATAAAAATGCTTCAAAAGGGTCTGTCGTTGTACTTTTCTCTTCAAAACTTTAATCCCCGTTTAATCGAAAATAAATTAAGGAATAATAAATTATTATTTTACAAGTATTCTAATTTCCGCTTAATATTTTTACATAAATAGTATTTAAATTTACAATATATTTACTTCATTTAAGAAAAGAAAAATTAAAAATATTTGTTTACAAATTTAATCAACCATTTGTAAAAAGGGCAAAAAGCGGCTTCACTCTGCGGGTCGAAGTTAAACATCTAGTTTATATAATATATCATTAATCCAGAAAAAAAAGGTTTTTGATAAAACGAGTGAAAAAGAATTAGTAGATTCATATCAAACTTGTTCTTACTGAAGAGATAACTTATATTTTAGGCATTTTATTTTTGTCTTGCATTTTTCTCTGTTTCTAATTTTTTGCATTCTTGCTGTAACTCAAAACATAATAACTTGAGATAGAATTGATCATTTGACTTGAAATTAGGAATTTGTGTTTAATATAATCTAATGGTGACCCTAAGATTTTACATAAAACATTTAAAATATCTTATAAAAATTCTGCTTATGTGCAAATTTTTTTAACATTTGTTAAAAAGTATTTTCACAAAAATCTTAATTACTCTTAGGGTAAAATGATTTATGCAAATCCTAAGCGTCATCCGGAATATAATACAATAATATACATATGTGCAAAAAAATTTTCAATTTTTCTTTTGTTTTATCAAGGAGAGGAGGTGGAGTATGTATTTATATTAAAGATACTTTAATGTCGAACGAGATAAGCATTAATGAAGGAGACAATGCACCCGAACAATAATGGATAAATGTTAAAGTTGGTCGAAACAACATGGTCTTTGGTTGTATTTACAGACCTCCAGACCCACTTAATAAAAATGAGAAAAAAATAACGAAATTATTAAATCAAAAAATACAGCAACATTATTGGTTCGGCAAAAGCAGTTCTCAAATTTAATAATAGCTGGAGATTTTAATCACAATTCAATATCGTGGTCTAATGAGAGAGTAACAAACTCGAACAAACAAGCAGAAAAATTTATAAGTTTTTTAT